TGGCTCTATGGCTTGGAAACGGGGATGAGCACCGCCCCCTAGAGGCGAACACGACTGGACAAAAATTGTCAAGGGGAACCTTTACCTTTACCTTAATTTGAACATGGGAGATTCGTCTTCATCTCCTGGGGGAGACAAAGATGAATCTTGTTGGCACAGGTGACCAGCAGAAATAATGACCACTCCCAGAACACACTGGTCCACTTACCACTCGCCGCACGGGTGCTGATAGTGCAATCATGGCAGTAGCCCGGGTGGCACTACCCCACCTCCCTGCTCAGCCAGCCACTCTGGCAAGGGGGCACAATGACAACTTTGGTGAAAGGCTGGCCGAGCAGGGAAAACAGGACAAGCAGTAAGTGGACTGGCGGGTTCTGGGGGGGGGCAGGTGTTAATTGGGCCAGCTGCCTGTGCCAGTGAGATTAGTCTTCATTTCCCCCGGGGAGACGAAGATGAATCTCCCATGTATAGTCTCATTGACTGATTTTTTGCTTCTGTTTGCCCTTTAACAACTAGGTGTTTTTTGTTGTATTTTTTCAAAAGTGGATTCCGTTAAGAAGTGAACCTTAGACAAGAAGTGTAATTATATAAGTAGGGAAAAGTGAGAGTAACAAATAAAAAAACATATTTACAAATAGGAAACTTAATTTCTTCTTCATGGTCTCTATGATTCACACCAATGGGTTCCTTCTGCACCTGCGTGGAATTTTTGGAACATTCTAGAAGCTAAAACAAAACTGTGAATCCACCCTCTCTCCACTGTGCATGCGCCCTCCGCCACCGCCCCCCATCTATCCTCAGTTCCCTTTCGACTGTCTCTGAGATGCTTTCAGAGCATTTGAGGCCTTATTTTTCTTGAAAATTGTTGTATATATTTCTCTCTCCCTTCAGCTCTTTCTTGTTTCCTCCTCATTGTCCTTCTGAGCCTTTGTTGTTGTTTTTTCCTAAAAGAAAGAGAGTGAGAGTGAGAAAAATGATTAGTGTTACGTACTTCTGTGTTGGGCCTTCCTGCTTTTATGCCCATGGAAGCCTGTTAAAAAATGAGGAATTGCACTAAAAAGATGGCCCTCACTAAGTGTCTTTATTGCTTAGGTGAAGTGCATCACTTAGAACTGCCATAGTTACAGAAAATTTAGTAAGAAATCAATCACTGTTGCTTAAAACTAAGAGCCTCATGGTGCAATGGTTACACTGTAGTACTGTAGCCAAAGCTCTGTTCACGATCCGGGCTCAGTCCCTGGTAGCTGACTTTAGGTTCACTCAGCCTTCCATCTTTCTGAGATTGGTAAATTGAATATGCATCTTGCTGTCTGGGGCTGGGAGAGCAATTTGTGTCCTGTATAATTAAATTATAAACAGCCCAGAGAGTGCTTTAAGCACTATGGGGTGGTATATAAACATCACACTTTGCTTTAATAACAGCAATATCCACCACAGAATGCAGGGTTTATGGAAGGTTGTGAAATCTTGGTTTCCCCCAAATCTTGGCCCAATTTAAAATGATGTTTCTTATGCATATAAAAAAATAGAATAACTTCTACTTTTTTTTTTTACAATAATGCTCATTATGTGTCCCAGGTTTTGCAGATTCTTGATCTGTATGCTCGTGTGTATGAAGACCTTCTTGCAATCCCTGTTGTGAAAGGAAGAAAAACAGAAAAAGAGAAATTTGCAGGTGGAGACTATACAACTACTGTTGAAGCATTTGTCTCTGCCAGTGGGCGAGCTATCCAGGTAGTATTAATAAATGTTTTTCATACCTACTACTATTGCACAGAAAGATGGTATATGGACGTACTATTTCTCTTGCTTTTTAGGGAGCCACATCTCATCACTTGGGACAGAATTTTTCAAAGATGTTTGAGATAGTTTTTGAAGATCCCAGGGTACCAGGAGAGAAGCAATTTGCTTATCAAAACTCTTGGGGCATCACAACTCGAACCATTGGTGTAATGACCATGATTCATGGAGATAATATGGGTTTGGTGTTACCACCCAGGGTAGCTTGTATTCAGGTGAGTAAGATTTTTGTCATGCTTACTTACAAGGAAGGTGAACCTTTGTTCACATCTGTTTTCCTGCTGTTTCTACCTTTTCATTTTCTTGAAAGGAATATACACGTAACTGTGTGGGATCCAGACTAAGGTTGTTGTTGTTTAGTCATTAAGTTGTGTCCGACTCTTCATGACCCCATGGACCAGAGCATGCCAGGCTCTCCTGTCTTCCACTGCCTCCTGGAGTTGGGTCAAATTCATGTTGGGCGCTTCGATAACACTGTCCAACCATCTCGTCCTCTGTCATCTCCTTCTCTTGCCTTCACACTTTGCCAACATTAGGGTCTTTTCCAGGGAGTCTTCTCTTCTCATGAGATGGCCAAAGTATTGGAGCCTCAGCTTCAGGATCTGTCCTTCCAGTGAGCACTCAGTGTTGATTTCCTTCAGAATGGATAGGTTTGTTCTCCTTGCAGTCCATGCCTCTCAAGAGTCTCCTCCAGCACCACAATTCAAAAGCATCAATTCTTTGGCAATCAGACCTCTTTATGGTCCAGCTCTCACTTCCATACATCACTACTGGGAAAATTATAGCTTTGATTCTGCGGACTTTTGTTGGCAAAGCGATGTCTCTGCTTTTTAAGATGCTGTCTAGGTTTGTCATCGCTTTCCTCCCAAGAAGCAGGGCTCTTAATTTCCGGGCTGCTGTCACCATCTGCAGTGATCATGGAGCCCAAGAAAGTGAAATCTGTCACTGCCTCTATATCTTCCCCTTCTATTTCCCAGGAGGTGATGGGACCAGTGGACATGATCTTGGTTTTTTTTAATGTTGAGCTTCAGGCCATTTTTTGTGCTCTCCTCTTTCGCCCTCTTTAAGAAGTTCTTTAATTCCTCCTCACTTTCTGCCATCAGAGAGGTATCATCTGCATATCTGAGGTTGTTGATATTTCTCCCAGCAGTCTTAATTCCGGTTTAGGATTCCTCCAGTCCAACCTTTTGTATTATGTATTCTGCATGTAAGTTAAATAAGAGGGAGACCATATACAGCCTTGTAGCTGTACTTTATTGATTTAGGTAACTGGGAATTAAATTCAATCACAATTAACTGATTCTGTGCTAAGTTTCAGGACTTATGTGCAACTAATTTATTTTGGATCTAGTCATTTGAGTCTGTTGACAAAATAATGTTTGTGCAGTGGTCACTTTCCTTTGACTGTATCTTTGAGATGTCTTCACAGAAGTAGAGAAAAAATGGAAAGATTCTGTTTTTGTCTTTGTGCAATCCCCATATACACCACCTTCAAAGATTTAGCTTGGAACTAGAGAAAGATCAGATTAAGGAACTAGACATTTTATATACTCATATTTAAAATGCTGCTTTTCTTCTGAACAGGACAGAAACTATGGAAGTAAGATCTTGGTTAATAGGAGAGAACTATATGAAATTTCTGTCACAATGGCCAAAATCCTATTTTGTAGTTACAGTGTCAGAAGGGGAAAGGCCTAATTTACAATGTCAAATTATGGCTAGGTATTGAGTCGTTGCTTGAATTCCTCATTATATGCCAGTTTGATGACTTTACATGTGACCAGCAATGCAAAGAGAGACTTTTTAACTAGGGGCAATTTGCTGCTGTAACTTAAGCCACTTTCTTTCCACTGGCATAAATACATACCAGGATTTTGGCCAATACATTGGAAAAAATTGTGACAATTATCACAATTCTCTCCCCCTCTTTTCTAAAGGATTTCATAAATTTTATGGTCTTTTTCCTGCTTAGGAAATGATGTGTTAAAAAGCAAAAGGAAGTTTGATACCTGTATATCATTCCTACAATCAGTATGTACATTAACAGTTCTAACTTTATAATGATTTGTCTGATGATCCAGGTAGTGATTATTCCCTGTGGCATCACTAATTCACTTTCGGAAGAAGACAAGGAGACCCTGATATCAAAATGTAAGGACTACCAGAAGCGATTGCTGAGTGCAAACATCCGTGTGCGAGCTGACTTGAGAGAGAACTACTCACCTGGCTGGAAATTTAATCACTGGGAGCTGAAGGTAAATGCTGCTTCATTTCTGCCGTCTTTTGGTTGACAGATTGTTGTCAGGATTTCCTCAGATAGCATCATTTGGGGTTGTTGGTAGAAGGAAAATGGGAGTACAGTAACTGTTATGTCTTACCTGCCATTAGTACTTTCCATAAATGCATGCTGTCTTTTGCTTCCTGAAGGAAGGAATATATCAGTCTTTTCTAATTCTTTGTAAAAGCTGTTGCATCAGTCAATATAAGGCTTGATAGATTGGCTAATACCCTCTTGCATAAAGTTATGCCTGCACAAGCTGATAATCTCATTTGCTTAGGGTTTTTACTGTGCATTAAAATTTTCCTAGTTTACCCCCAAGGGCCTGAGGCTCCTTTGGGTTCCCTTTTGAACTGGGGAAGTCTTTGGGAGCCTCAGGACTGGTGGGGGAGCCTTTAATGCTCCCCAAATTGCTGCCAATAGTCCCAGTCCTGGTGGCAGGACCAGCAGTGGTAGTTGGGGGCATTAAAGGTTCTGTTCCCATCCGGAGGCTCCCAAAGGCTTCCCCATGTCAGAGGAGATCCCAAAGGAGCCTTGGGACCTTGACGGAGGGAGATAAGAAACTTTTAATGTACAGTAAACCTCCTGCTTGTACGGTCATCTGCTTGTACAGGTGTAAGAGGAAAGTGGCCATTGTCTCACTACTGAGACTAGGTTTTGCTTCCTGAAGGAAGGAATATATCAGTCTTTTCTAATTCTTTGTAAAAGCTGTTGCATCAGTCAATATAAGGCTTGATAGATTGGCTAATACCCTCTTGCATAAAGTTATGCCTGCACAAGCTGATAATCTCATCGGCTAAGGGTTTTTACCGTGCATTAAAATTTTCCTAGTCTATCGCTAAGGGTCTGAGGCTCCTTTGGGTTCCCTTTTGAACTGGGGAAGTCTTTGGGAGCCTCAGGACTGGTGGGGGAGCCTTTAATGCTCCCCAAATTGCTGCCAATAGTCCCAGTCCTGGTGGCAGGACCAGCAGTGGTAGTTGGGGGCATTAAAGGTTCTGTTCCCATCCGGAGGCTCCCAAAGGCTTCCCTATGTCAGAGGGGATCCCAAAGGAGCCTTGGGACCTTGGCGGAGGGAGACAAGAAACTTTTAATGTGCAATAAAGCTCCTGCTTGTACGGTCATCTGCTTGTACGGGTGTAAGAGGAAAGTGGCCATTTCTCACTACTGAGACTAGGAAGGAATTATATGATTGTGTGGATATGAGCAGAACCTTAGGAATCTTCCTATTAACTATGTCTGATGTTATGGAGGGAAACTTCTGCTCATGTAAGGGAAACTTCCCTTTCCCTGAAGTCCCTGCATGCTCACCAGATCTCAGCCAAAGGATCCATTAGGCATTCATAGAAGGCAGCAGTATAAAATCTAAAATTGATCCACAACCAGTGCCTATTCTACTGCCAAAAATACTTCAATAAATGGAATCCCATACTGTATATGGGCTTTTAATATGGGAATATTAGGTTGGAGTACAGAATAATTCGCAAAAATGTTAAGTTTGAGGGTCTTGGATATAACAAAAAAACAATCTTTATCTTAAAACAAGAAAGACCAGTGCAAAAAGGGAAAAAGCATTCTATTTATGACCTTTTGATTTTTAGGGTGTCCCAGTCAGACTTGAGGTGGGGCCACGAGATATGAAGAATGAGCAGTTTGTAGCTGTACGGCGGGACACAGGAGAAAAGTTGACTTTCTGTGAAAATGAAGCCGTGGATCAGCTCAGGCGTATTCTGGAAGAGATCCACACTAATCTTTACAACAGGTGAAACTTTGGGGAAATCAGTTACTGTTATCGCTGATGGACATTCATCTGTCACCTTGTGAGTTTCCAAAGGCATGGAGAAATTATTAGCACTAGCGGAGTCCTGTTGCATCAAATCAAAGTCTAATATGCTACATCCCCTAAAAACTACAATTCTGCAATGGCATTAAGAGGTCAAAGGCTAGCTTTAAAAGGAAGGTTTTCACACGTGGGCATAAAGACTATAAGGGAGGGGCCAACCTTGCCTCATGAGGCGTTGAATTCGGTAGACTGGGAGCAGCTGCTGAAAATTCCCTCTTTTGAGCCTTATCAAATATATGTGAAGGCCCTAGCCTGAAGATATCCGAGACCAGTGAAGGGAATATATGGGGAGATAGGGTCCTTCAAATAGCCTGGACTCTATCCATGAAGGGCTTTACAAGGCATAACCAACACTTTGAATGGGGACAGAACCAGACTGGCAGCCAGTGAAGTTCTAACAAGGGAGTTCTGTCATTCCTGTAACCAGCTTCCATCAGTAGTCTGGGTGCAACATTTTGAACCAGTTTCCGTTTCCAAACTGTCTTCAGACATAGACCCACATAGAGCATATTACAGTAATCCAGAGGTATAAAGTGGCCAGCAAATTACTTTTGAGAAGCAGGATGTGAATGAAGTAACACACTTCTCCTCATGATCCCCAGCAACTGGTATTCAAAAGCTGTCTCCTCTAATCATGGAAGCATAGTATGTCATCATCATCGTTAATGGTCATTGTTTCTTCTGTTAATTGCACAGAATGAACTGAGGACCATAACTAGACTTATCTCACCCCCCACACCCATTTCTTGGCTTCTGTTATATACATGGTAAATGGATGTCCCTGAATCTCCAGTTTTCTCCGACTAGAAAACTAAGCTTTTTCATGTTGTTTTTCTGCGATGACATGACAGACGAATTGAGTGCCCTTAAAATTGTGCAACCTAGGGTGGGCTGGAAATTTCTAGGTAGAAAGTGGATGAGTGAATGGACTAGTAGTCAAATTAAGGCTAGTTATCTCTCCAATCCTTTGACAATAAAAAGAAAGCAGTCCGTTAATACTGATTTCATGACCAAAATGTCTTTTGAGTTTTGAAGCACAATATCCTCATATTCGCAAGCCCTGGTACTTTGGTTTATCCTTTCACTGTGGGCTGATAGCTATAATGTGTTTAGTGTGGAACTTAAAAAGAGGGAGTCAAGATGCTATTGAAGTAGATCTTTCTTGTTATTTTCACCTGTTTCTTCAAACGTACAGGACAAAGGGCATTTATGTTCTCGGGTAGTAACCGTGAGCAGGCTTGTGTCGACACAGTAGTTTGGAGCTGCAGAATAAGAGGTCTTCAATACCATGGTCTTCATATAGAACTTTGCTTTGCTTTTGTATAAGCTGGCTGTCTGAAATATAATTTAAATGCTATCCATTCTGTGCACAAAATGTGATGTGGAATAATTTCAGATGGCTCTTCAAAGAGTGGAGTTTTGTGATTGTGAAAAGTGCTTGTTTCTGAGTGCTTGACTTCATCATATTCTGAATACCTGGCTCAAAATTAGTGTTTGTGTGTGCATGCTGATGCACACATATGCGCATGCACACCAAAGTATGGTTAGTTTGAGTGAATTTCTTCTTCTTTTTTCAGAGCTGTCAAAGACCTTAAGCATCATATGGTTGTGGCTGATACAATGGAAGAGTTTCAGAAGGAGCTTGAATCAGGAAAGGTAAGGGACTTGTAGGATAACCAAGACTGCAATCTTGTGAATGCTTCCAGTCTTAGTGAACATAGTGCACCTAACTTCTAAGGAAACATGCATATGAGTAGACTGCAAGTTTCATTTCCCCTGCTCTCCCACCCCCCGCCACATGAAAGCATATTTGTTTTATATAAATTAACTCAAGGGTCATAATATTCCTTGGTTATAGTTACAGGAGTTAGAAACTTCAAAGATCACTTGCAGTCTCAAGAAATGCTAAATGTTTAATTAACATTCCTTTCATTTTAATTCTGTAGTTTAACCCAAGCTTGAAGTTATAGCATAGAGCTTGTACTTTTTGGCATTATGTTGCACTATATAGTTTTGTACAGTTTTTACGAAGTTGCATATCTCAGGCTTCATTGATACATACATTGCACTTGCCACTGCTGAATATTGGCTTTCTGAGTGAGGACTACTGATTTTTAATTCTGGCCTGATGTTATCCCCAATATTTCTGGTGTGTGTGTGTGTGTGTATTGCTGCAAAAATGGCATGGTTGACTTTAAGTGCCCTTACCCTCATATATATATGCGGGTAATGGCACTTAAACTCAACCATGCCATTTTTGCAGCAAAAAATAACTGTTCCATGCCTGAGGAGGGGAATTATAGATCAGATAATGTAGTAATTCCAGTGTGAATAGCTATAAAATAATTACCGAACAATATAAGTTATGTGTCTGTTCAAAGAACACATTTAATGCGTCATGGAACTCTGTCTATCAGATTCCAGTAGAGGTCATTAAGTACACGTGGTCAAGTTCATGAGAAAAGGTTAGTGGGGTTGATACGAAGTAGCAATGAAGCACTCTTAATTGCAGTGAAGTGTTTTAGATTATTTCATGCTATTCTGATGTAGTGTTTCATTAATGCAAACTATTTTAGGGCATCTCTAGACATACTTTGATAACATTGGCTAAGTTTCCTACATACCTCCTTTAGAATAAAAGATTTTAACAGTATGGTTCTTCTGATCTATTGTATTCCTATGCATTTTTAAATAAACTGGGCCTTTGTCAAACTGGATACAGTATACTTAGAACATTTTAAAACAGTGAGGAAGCCATCTGTTTACTATAGTGCATGATGCTAAGTTTCCTACATACCTCCTTTAGAATAAAAGATTTTAACAGTATGGTTCTTCTGATCTATTGTATTCCTATGCATTTTTAAATAAACTGGGCCTTTGTCAAACTGGATACAGTATACTTAGAACATTTTAAAACAGTGAGGAAGCCATCTGTTCACTATAGTGCATGATTTTCCTTAATTTTTTTTATCCTGCATGTTTTGTTTGTTTTGGAAAGTAAACATAGATGTAGCTAGGAAGTCTAATTCCTGAAACTTGCATCTCTGAGAAAATCCTTTCTTGGAGGGAAGCATGTTTGGAAGGCAATATGCACCTCCTTTCATCTAGTTTGACTCTTCAGGTGGAGGCAAATTCTAGCCTCTTCCTCTGCAGGGTCAGGACTGTCCTGCAGCCCAGTATATATGCTCCAGGGAGCAGGGACTTGGATGTGATCAGGTCTGGCCAGTGTTCTACATGTAAAAGAATTTAGAGGAATTCATGCATGTTTATGTTTGTGTTACCATCTTTCATTACAGTTCTTTAGGATTAATGCCCTTTTTGAAATATATTAGGAATTAAGAATATTAATATATATTGAATGGCCTTGGAAGGGGGGGCAGTGTAATTTAAGGGACTGCACTGTCCTGCAGGATCTACAGTAGAGATGGGGGTATTCGTATTCATATACGAATATCCCCTTCCAGGTGGAAATAACGAGGGTCCGGCCTCATGGGGCTGGACTGCCCACTCACAAATTCGCCACTGCCACAGGCTCCGCAGTGCCTTCCTATCACATCATTGTCTGCAATCGATTACCCAGTCCTGGCAGGAGGCGGGATGACAAGCTTCTCTGCTAGGTCAGAGAGTGGCCAATCCATTGCGGAGAACAGCGCGATAAGAAGCTACTGTGGAGCTGGTGGCAGTGGTAAAATCATGAGTGGACAGTCCAACCCCATGGGGCCGGACCCTTGTTATTTCCACCTGAGCAGGGATATACAAATACGAATACCCCATCTCTAATATATACCTTTTAGACTTTACCAATCTAAAAGGATAGTAGGCTCACCCGCTGTGAATTTGAAAATTTCTTTCTTCTGTACACTTATGCTGAATTATTAACTTTCCTACGTGCTAAGTGTACTGCCTTTAAAGCCAAGCTGATTTGTGTTAAATCTCAACATAGCAAGTGCCTGTAAAAGCCTTTACAGCTTTGAACACAAACAGTATAAGAAACATTGTTATTGACAGGCTAGGGCAGTCAGTTGAAGTTCATTTACTCTCCAAACCAGACATGTGAGTAATTCCAGTGCTTTAAGCATTCTCGTGCACCAATCCAGCAGTCTGTTGGGAAGTGCAAGCTTTGTGCAGGTTTACCCTTTGCCAACAATATGAAAAACCTTGCTTGGGAGGGGGGGAATAAAAACTGAAATATTCAATGAAGAGAGAATTATGCAGAGAGGAATCTTTTATTTAGAATCTTCAAAAGTAAATTTGAATGAAAAATATTGAGGATTTATGAAAATATTTTCTTTCTTTCTGTCTGTCTCTCTGTCTTGATGTGCTACCTTTCGCCCAGAACTAGGACTCGGTGACTAAATCCTGTTCTGTAGCTACCCCTGTGTAATTAAAGAAGTGCTTGCAAAATTTATGCCAATGCAAAAGTCATATCCAATAAGCAGCTGTGCAGTTAGTTATACAGTCTGTTGTGCAGTCAAGACACACATACTAACCTCTGTATGGATTTTCACAGGCATAACCTTTAGCTATGCTAAGTGCCTTAGGACTTCAATAAAGTTTAATGCTATTAGTATCACACACAGAGAAAGTTGAATCCAGATTAAGTTAACCAAAGCTTGGATGAAATCAGTTGGACTCCAGTGATTTGTAACTAAATTTTCATACTGATTTCAGGGAGATGAAAATAGATCTTAAACTCTCTGAATCCATAGTCAGGAAGTACCACTGGGAGAGATTTAATAACAGATTTAGATCCAAATCAATCAGAATTCCACCTAGAGTAGACCCTCAAAATTAGTGGGACTTACGTAAATGTTAACTATTCAGTGCTTGATATAGTGAACCTATTCTAGATGCACTAAGTAGTTCGATTTATATGAGAAGATATTCTGGGTTTGAGCTGATTTTGATACAAAATAGAGTACAGAGAATGAAAGACTACTTTTTAGTGTGTTTCATGTATTTTGCTGTATATGCCACTACATCTTCCCATATATGATCTTTTAGATTTCTTACCTGTTTGTTGTATTATAATGCTTGAAAGAATAAGCAACTTTTTTTTACATGTTTAAAGTAACCACATGGGGGTTTGCTCTTTGTTTAATGCCATGTGAAACTTTCTTTAAAAAAATACAGGTTCTTATTCTGTCTCATCAGTGATGAGTTTGAAATGCATGCCTAGACTTGAAAAATCAGGAAGACATTAGCATATTTTAAGAACAATTTTTGAAAATAAAATAACATTTTATTATTGGGTATATAGCTACCAAAAAGAAGAGAAATTGAAAGAGGATTTTTCCTTTCTCTCTCTCTCCATTATTTAACACAAATAACCATGGTTAGATTGTCTATAACTATGTCTAATTCCATGTTTGTCTAAATTATTTTTTGTGTTATTGAATTCAAGTTATTATGACACTAATCTACTTTAAAACATCTGGCTAACTTATGCAATACTTTACTGTGGATACAGCTACATTAGCAGCAGGGAGTGAGCTAATATGGGCCATTTGGCGATGATCAGGTTTAATTACTGTAGAACACCTGGGTCATTTCTTTACCAGCCCTTTAAGACGAGGCAAAGAAAATATTTTTATAATTAATGTAGCTCATCAGAAATTGTTTAAATACAGTAAAAAAAAAAGAATATAATTTTTAACTTCCTCTGCCCTCTGCGGAGCAGAGGAAGTAATTAATTTGCCAGTATTCTGAAGTGACTTGCTTATTAAGCCATTCCACGATATTGGCAAATGGAAAGAGGAAGGCTTGCTTTAGATCGGTTCCAGTGATCACATGCTCTGGAACTGATCTAAAGCAGATCCCTACCCTCATCAAAAAAGTAGAAGCCCCTTAACTAGGGCCAGAAAGGTGTAGGTAGAAATGCTCTGGGGCTGGTTAGTGTGGTCTAGCAAAGACGTATACTGATTGCTTTCTTTAAGAGCACTCCAGCTCATCCCTGCACTAAACAGCCCGCGTAGTCAGCCTCCAGTTTTAATCACCAAAAGTCATCTTTGCCTTTTCTTTAGAGTGGTATTGCTAAAATTCTACCAAAATGTCTGGACTTTTCCCTTGGTTGGGAAAACACTAAAGTAGATATTATATGTTTAATACATGGACAACTCTTGGAAGCAAATTTTATTTCTAACATCCAGTTGAATACATGATGGTATGATTCAAACTGAGAACCATTGGAGTGTTGGGACTTGGATTAAAATCCCTGCTTGAGCATAGAAACTCATCAGCAATGCTCTACTAATCCTTGAACATCTCACATAATTCAAAAACCCTCTTGGGGTTCCTTTGAGGCAGAATTGACTTGATGGCACATAACAATTAGTGATTCACAAAATTTTGCCACCTTTTGGGATTCTTTCAAGGCTTCTGAAATAGATCAGTATCATGTTTTTTAAATTACTTCAGCTATTTTCTGTTGAAATTTTGATTTGCTATGTATATGGCAATAAACATAGCCTGTTAAATCAATAGAATCATCTTTCTAAAATGGAAAGTGTTCCTTATCATATAAGCTTAACGGCGTATGTTTTCTCTTTCTATATTAGATAGTGCAGATTCCCTTCTGTGGGGAAATAGAATGTGAGGACTGGATCAAAAAAACTACTGCCAGGTAAAATGTGTATGTGTGTGTGGGTGTGCGCCTGCATGTGTATGCATATGCAAAACTTCTAAACTTTATACCTACCAAATGAGATGTGTGATTTGTTTTTTGACACTTGCAACAATAATTCTCAAAAGTTTAGAGAAAAGTGGAACTTACAACGTGACACTGGCTAGCGAAAATGGCTAACGGCTAAAGCTTTGCTGAATCGAAACCCTTCCTAGCTGGAAGTCAGTTGGCCTAAATTTATGCCATAGATGCCTAGTGTAGTATAGTGCACTGGTTCTTAACCTTTGTTACTCAGATGTTTTTGGACTGCAACTCCCAGAAGCCTTCACCATCAGCTCTGCTGGCTGGGGTTTCTGGGAGTTACAGTTCAAAAACACCTGAGTAACAAAGGTTAAGAGCCACTGGTATAGTGGATAGAGTGGTGGGCTAGCACTCAGGAGACTGTTTGGCCATGGAAACTCAGTAGGGGAGAGTGGAACTGATTACATTGCTCCTTAAAAATTTCCCTCTTCTTAGTGTTGCTATAAGTAGGCATACCGTGACTCTTCTCACTCTGTCTCTTCTCCTCTCTTGTTTTGACTTTTCTGGTCTTCTCTGAGATCTAAAGCCAGTATAAAGCTGTTTCGGCCAGCAGATGACACTTTGTTTATTCCAGACCCTCTACAGATGATACATGAGTTAGGATAGTACATTTAGTTCATAAGTCCATGTAATAAAGGTATGTGAGAAGAGAGCTTACTGTAAATAATTGGCTAAAGGGGTATTAGGAACTTCTAAAATGGTACTTAAGAACTTCTGTCCGGACCTATGGAGAAACAGTGAGCAATCATGATCATTGGACCTTTTTCACTGAGAGTAGCTTTCATGGGGACCAAGAGACTCCTTGATCTATTTGTGGTTATGTGGCGTTCCTGATAATTATAGGTCAGTAGACTGCCCTCTCATCTTGCTAATTTCACTACAAATCTGCATAGAGATCTTTGTAAATTGTGACTCGTTTTGAGAAGTGTTGCAATTTTTCCTTATTGACTTTGCAAAACAAACACAGATAATACATTACACTGTCTCCTACCATAGTGTTGGGATGTTTTAATTTGGATTAACTAGATTTTAAATGAAACCTGCTTTGCCTTTCAGGGATCAAGACCTCGAGCCAGGTGCTCCATCCATGGGAGCAAAGAGTCTCTGCATCCCCTTCAAACCTCTGCGTCAGCTGCAGAACGGAGCAAAATGTGTTTGTGGCAAAAACCCTGCCAGGTTCTACACCCTCTTTGGCCGCAGTTATTAATCTGCTAGTTGGAAGCAGCAGTCTCCTTAATTTTCTGGTCCTCTACTTTTTGAAATAAAGACTGAAACGTTCCCAGATCCTGTTCAGATTTTTGTTAACTTTTTAAAAGAGCAAGAAATAAAGCCATAGAGTCGTGCCCCTTTAGTCAGACTAGCTGTAATGCAGACATTTCTGTATACATCATCTCTAATAATAAATATGTATTGTCAGCTATCACTTGTGGGTTTTTTTCCCTTTCTTTTGGTGAAAATAATAGAGTTGTTTCTGCATTAAGTAAGGTAAATACAGTTGTTAGATGAATTGCACAGTGGAAGTGTGTAAGGTGTTAATTTTTTAAAAAATCTTGGTACAAAAGAGTTCCTCTTCACTGTCAGCCTCTTCACTGAAGTCACTGGGTGCCTGGAAGTCATTGGTGGCCTTTTTTTAATGACACAGTGCTATTAGCATAACTTCAAAACATTGTCTAGGGACAGAGCGAATAGCAAATAATAGCTGATGAATTTATGAAGAGTCTCAAATCTTCCTTTTAAAATGTGGCTTTGAAAAGTACAGTACTACAAAAAGGACACAATAAAAGGTCAAATGAGTCAGAATGACATTAAAAGGAAAAAGGATCAATTGTGTGGGTTACAGCCTAAGTTTTCAAAGGCAGAGAGAAAATTATATACTGCTTGATACAAGGCTGTTATTGGCACTTCATCTATTAACCCAATGCACCCCATACCCCTATTAATGGCATTTCCCCCAGGTAACACTTTCAGTGTGGCCGGGAGGGGAATACTGAAATCTTAAGGTGTGTTTGAAACCTTGTTCTTTCAATTTCATTTTAAATACTTCAGTCAATGCTATTCGTTACTGGAAAAAAGGGGGAAATAAATCTGATCATTTATCAGACTGTTGATTCAAAACAATGCTGCAGAATAGCAGCTGCTCCAATATGAAATGAGCAAAACAACAATCAATGCTGACACGGGAAAGCTCCCATAATGCAAAATGGTTGTATCTGTGGATCTAAAGCTGTGGCCTATTTAACAGAAACGGACACCTCAATATCTTTTCAGCAAAGAGCTGAGTAAATCTGTTCATTGTTGGTGAAATAATATGCTTGGTGCATCTCTCTTTTTTTTTTTAAATTTTCCAAAACAAATACATCAATACAATACAAAACAATACAAAATACTGGCTTAACAATCTAAAACCCAATGCACCCCATACCCACGGGACCCTTTGGAGTAATTCTTTTATTACGAACCTCTTTTCCAAAATTGTATTGATTGTTCCTTGGAGTCTTTCCCCTTTCCTTTCACTAATACAAATTCAATAAATCTACCCCAAATAGCATAAAAATATTCAAACATATTTCCCCTCTTTTCATCTTAGTTCAGTAGCCAATTTGTCATTTAACGCAATATCCCATACTTCATTATACCAGTCTTCTAATTTGATACCATGTTTCTTTCCAGTATCTAGCTATTAATAATGTAGCACCTGTCATAAAATTAGAAATAAATTTATTTGAGTAATAATCAAGTTCTATCTTATCAAAAATTGACAGTAAAGCAATTTTTGAGTTAAATTCAATATATTTTCCAAATATATCACATATTTCCTTAAAAATCTATTTCCAAAATTTCTGAATCAATTTACACTCCCACCACATATGATAATACGTGCCAATTTCTTCATCACATTTCCAACAGGCCTTAGAATAGTATGAATTTATTATGTTCAATTTCACTGGAGCCACGTACCACCTTAAACTAATTTTTAAAAAATTCTCCTTTATTCTTACTGACATTAATCTTAGAACTCTCATCTTCCAAATTTGTATCCAATTCTCTGTTCTAATTTCTGTCTTTAAAGCATGCACCAAATTGATTTTAATCCTTCTGTTTCAATCTCATTTTCCTCCTGATCCAAAATTAGGTTATAAATTTTGCTTACTACTCCCTTCTTCAAAGCACCCTTCTGCATGTCTTCATGTGATGATAGAAATTGTTCATACTTAGTACATTCTCTACATTTGCCATTAATCCTCAACCATTCATTAATCTATCTGTCTAATTGGATATAATTGTACCATGATAATTTATTATGCTTGGTGCATCTCTTAAAACTTATACAGTGGTGCCTCGCAAGACGAATGCCTTGCGGGACAAAAAAATGCATTTCAATGCATTCCTATGGAAAAATGCACTTCGCAAGACGAAATTTTCGCTAGACGGCATTAACCACGGAAAGGCTTAATTTGTCGTGAGGCACCACTGTACTCTAGTTATGACCAGTCATAACCTCTTTTGGGGGGGGGAGACGGGACAAGATATTATACATGTTACTATTAACTTTTATTGATGCAATATTTCCATTGCGTATTATCTATCCATTCTTCTAAATCTTCCTGATTCATGGAAATTAGCATATGATCAAAACAAATGCATAAAAATCTAAAGCAAAAGACAGACTTCAGTAATCTCCTGCGGAAAAAATGGAGCAGAATATAGGGTTTGCATTGCAATTTGTTAATGTGCGTTGGAGAAGTAGGAATCCTTACGATTCTAGCCTTGCCTTAGTCCAATCAACATCTACTTTCAGAGCTTGTAAAAGGTCCTTTTTTCCAGTTGCATTTCCCATGATCTCCCAGCCAGCATTCATTTTATTTATACCTTTCCTCCAATAAAGAGAACCAAGGAGTGGTTGTTATAGGTTTTTCAGGCTCTTTGGCCGTCTTCTGAAGTTTTTTCTTCCTAATGTTTTGCCAGTCTCTGGGCTGGCATCTTCAGAGAGTGGATGTGCTCTTTTGCTTCGGACTGTTTCCAGTCTCCGGGTCTGTCTGACCGTTTCCTCCCCGTAGAGGCATTCAATGTATTCTTGAACCAAGGAGGTTTGCAAAATATTTAGGGGGAAAATATTAGGATGGGTAAAAGTACAACGAATTGCAGTATTAAAAAAAGAAGGATTACATACTAAAACTGTTAAATAAAAAGTTTTAACAATTTAAAGGCAAATTTGAAAAGTTAAAAGGTGTAACATTTTCTATAATATTAAAAAAATATTAGTAAGCTTTCCTCGGCTTGGCAATCTCTGTTCCTTTGACTGGTTGAGTTTGGCTCATTCAGTCACTTCATTCCTGGTGCAGATGCAAAGGAGAATTACCTGCCCTTGAAATGTGTCTCCTCTTGAAATGTGTCTCTGCTCAATTCACTGCCCTGGGTTCGCTTCCTTCTATTCAAGAGGCCAATTTAAAGCAGTGAAGCACATAGAAATACCAAGGGGTCTCCACTCGGGAGGATGCTCTTAAATGTTCCCATCCTGTCTTTCCTCCAAGGAGCTCATGACCAAGGAGCTCTGAACACAACAAGCTGTGTTGTATCGAGTCTGAGCAATAATATATCAAGTTTATTGTCATTCACTCCAGCCTACCCAGCCTCAATTACTCCTGCGCTGTCTGGCTCCAAATCACATCAGCTGCAACTGGCATACTTACCAGCGGTAATTGATAATGAGTGGAATTTAATGGTCTGAAACGGGAGCTCTGGAGGCTGGTGGATTCTGTTTTGTGTGGTGGTAAGTCTGCTCTCGTACTGTGAACTGTAAATGATATGTTTTCTTTGGTCAGCACCTTAGATGGCTCCTATAATGTTCGCACTGAAACCCAGAGCAATTTCACTACCTCCATGAAAGCAAAGTCACCACCAGCTTTTACTGAGTGTGAGTCTTTCCCCCAGCCCTGCCAGGAGATGCTTGGGTTTGAACCTGGGACCTCCCCTGTGCACAGCAGGTGCCTTGTCACTTCTCTATGGTCAATACGTTTTTCTCTTGCTTTATCCCTGTGAAGCAGGTTAGGCTGAGATGTTGTGAGACCACTGCTACTCAGCTGCCTGACTGAATGGGCATTTGAACTTGGTCCTCTTTCCCCAGCCCTCATTTAACAACAGTCTAGCCAGCATTTGGTGAAGATCCTCTTCTGAATTATAGCTCCTACAATCATCTACCCAGATCCTGAGAGTAAAATGACTTTGCCAAGTTCTGAGTCCATCAGCTACACACCATGGTGACACTCAGACAAGTTTCATCCACTCTCCGCATGACACACACAAGTGAAACTGCTCCTCAGAATATAAATTGATGGGAGGGAAAAGGTTAATTGTCCTCAGAACCATGAGATACATTGTCCTAGGCCAATGAACCTCCCAAGGCCACCTTCACCTTTCCTCCCTCTCTGCACCCAGTGAACTTCTGGAAATAAAAAAAGCGCACACTTCAACGGTATGTCACATTATGGAAAAGAAAACCAGGGATACTGTTGAATCCTTTGACAGTGACATGAGAGCAAATAAGATAAACCAGCATATATCTTAACTGTAATAAAGAACAAATAATTAGTCTGGCACTATGTAGAAGTCAGATGGCGTTTTCCTAGATGCTCTTCTTTCTAATAATGTGCACAAGATAGCCCTGCTTAACTGCCCTTTAAACAGTTTTATTACTTTAGTGCTTCTTATAAAAATTAACTTACAAACATAAGCAGCAGGAAACAATAAAAAGGAGAGAACTACTGGGATGTAGCTGTCTTATGCCAGTAAGATCCAGCTTGAAAATACAGTACAGAGACCAGCTAGGAAGCCATGGGCCGCTTCACAGGAAGAAGTTCCAGGCTTCTCTTAATGTGCCTTGTTAGTTTTCTACTTTTTATAACAGAAGTAGCAGTAGCCTACATAGGCAACTCCTTGGCTTTAGCATCCGATGGCTTTGCTGTCCTTTCTCACTTGATCTCCATGATCATTGGCTTCTTCGGAGTTCGGTTTAGCCGTGTCAGGTGGCACATGAGCAGCACCTTTGGCTTTTCCCGGGCTGATGTCGTGGGTGCCTTTGGCAATTCTGTATTTGCGACCGCCCTGATGTTTAGCATTCTGATTGAAGCCGTGAAGAGGTTTCTCAATCCACAGAAAACTGAACAGGCGTTGTTCGTTCTCATTGTTGGAATTGTAGGGCTGTTCTTTAACATGCTCAACTATTTTATTTTTCTGGACTGTTGTTACTGCCGTGAACCTGTTGATCAAGATGTGGAAACAGGTAAGTGATTTATTAAAATCACTGCACTCCCCATAATTATTTCTTGTTAAGTATGGATTCACAGGGTTTGGCTTTAAACAACAAAAACACAAGGCTACCTTTTTTAGTGTTTGCTTTATGAAAATTCTAATATACATCAATAT